TTGTTCTTATCAGTTTCTGATAGATTCTTCAGCATTCCCGTCTTCACCATGATAATGCGATTGATCATAAGGCCACAGCAAGTAATTTTTATGGATGACATCAGCGCGCGCATTAATTTTCGCCTGATTTTGAAAAAAAAAACAAGAAATTTTGTTGCCTTCTGACAGTGGTCAACATGCCGAAAATGGGCAAAGATGCCTGTTGCCATGCCGGAAAGTGGATGGCAGATAACTATGAGGAGAGGGACAAGACTCTAATTTAATGTTTTGTTTCTTACTTTGATGCAGTGATATGTGATGTTGACTGTGTACATGTGATGTTCCCACTGAATCAAAACCATTTGTACAATAATTGAGTCAAAATTTTCAAATGTAGGAACCTTGTTTTTTTCGGCCCGCCTTGTTTTTTTTCACCCGCTCGCATTAGATTTGGAGTCTGCTGAGGATGTCATCCATAAAATTTAATTGCTGTGGCATTAGATGATAATTTAGACCAGGCGTTAGGCTTTGCCAAAATAGAGCAGCACGACAAAGCACATTAATTAACTGATGCATGTACAATGTTTTCATGGTGATTGCCTCTCGTCAACTCAAGGGGAGGGTGATCGACTGTTGGAAGATCTCTGGTTTCCAGGCTCTTTATTGGTCCTGTTGGCTATTCTATTTAAGTATTGTTACAAAGATGGCTCATTATCCTTCTTATACTGTTATCACATCAAAGATAAGAAAAAGTGCCCATAATTGTGACAAAAGGTCGGGCTGTTTGCCACGTCACTGCCCTTCTAAGTGGACCTATCATTCACTTGGTTTCACACACGACAACTAGGGGGGAGGGGGGTGCCATGACCTTTGTCTAACTAAAGGGGGAGGGGGGTGCTGTGACATTTGTGTGCCTCCGTGCGTGATTCCCATGGCTCAAATCAACATGCGTCATTACACCTTTTGTCGTCCGCTGGGCGGCTACCAGAAGGGAAATGTCATCTTGGGTGTGCCCTTGGGAGCACAATGACACGAGCGTCAGCGATATGAGTCAGAAGTACCAATTATGTGCGCCAATGGCTGCACCCATTCCCTCTAAATCCTCAACTTTGCCACGAACCCGTTTAGCAAGACGCGTAGGCCAAATTACAGAAAAGCCGCCGTAATTATTTATCCATATAATTAAAGGCAAAGTCACCAAGGTCGGCAATTATACAACAGGCACTAGACATGTGCCCCTCTACTCACATGCATTATCTGCAACCTCCGCTGCATAATGTCGTTTCCCCACTCTTATATGTCTTCAGATATTCCAAAATGTCTTTTTTTTTTGTCTAGGTTAGACATTTTTAATGGTATGAGTGTAAGATGAAAATGTCACACTAAACCTCTCCATATCCCCAGGCAATAGACATAGGAATGAGACGACCTCAGGTTGTTGAATAGTTTTCTCAACTGGGATCCATTTTGATCATGAATAGAGTATTGTATGTTATTCTCGCACAATCGAATTGCGGTACACATTCTACTTCTTGAATTTTTTTCCAGTCTTATTTGTGAAGCATGAAATCTGGTAAAAGTGCTTGTTGAAAAGATGTTTAATTACAGGTATTCACCAAGGTCAGTCACTCATGAAATTACAGACTAATTTTCTGTGTCAGCTGAGATACCTTTGTGGCTCCTCTGACGTTTTCGTGCCAAAGGTATATTATTAACGCCACACCTAGATGGTTTATGGAATAGTACGCACTGCTACAAACTAAATCAGTACCGAGAAGACTACTTCCAGCGATGTTAGCTACACCACACGTCTTAGTATAATGTTGAAATCTTCCGAATGGAGAAGTGCCGTAGTAGTGGTCCTTACCATGGCCCTACTGTCCTCTAGGCAAGGAGGGGTGGTTCAGGCACAAGGTAAGTCGTGTCACCTCAGGCTCTTCTGATAGCAACATCAAAACAATGGCGACATACATGCCCGTAGCCAGAATTATTTTGAATGGGGGGGGGGTTCTTCCCACCGCTTGAGGGGACCAGCGAGCGCCGTAGGCGCGGGGTTCTTAGGGGGGTCCGAGGGCATGCTCCCCCGGAAAATTTTGAAAAATGAACCTTCTAAAATGGCATTTCGTGCATTTTTGAGAGGATTTCCAAGAAAAAATCAGAGATAAACTTTTATTCAATGACAAAGGGAGCAGTTTTGCTATGATTCCAGCCCATCTTTTCAAGAAAAATCTTGGACCTTTACATCAAAAGTGGACCAAAAAGTGGACCTTTACATCAAAAGTGGACCAAAATGTGGACCTTTGAGCCTTGTGGGGGGGTTCTTCCGAACTCCCCTGGCTACGGGCATGACATAGTTCTTCAGGGCATATTAAAGACTGGTGTTCGATAAGGTATAGCCAGGATGCAGTTTTCTTTTAGCAACCATAACTGGATAAACGTGAAAAATATACTTTACGCCTTCAGGGTTGGAAGCTATCCTATTTTAATACCTTACCCTTTTTGAAATAACTACTGAGTGTTTACTCTCCAAGTAGAGGTTGTGGGGGAATGATCGTTAGCTTTTTATATATGGCCCTTTTTTTTTGTCGCTACCCCCACCAACAACCTTGGGTCACGTATGGTCCCCTATCTGGCCAATTGGATACTGCCTGGCAAATTTGATACTCTATATTTGAGACCCTAGGATCTGCTTGGAGATTACTGAGTGTTGCGTTGTGCTGTTGTGTTGAACAACAAATGCATTATTTTATTTTTTTTATTTATTTATTTTGCTTACAAAGAAGCCAGGGTGTCCCAACTAGTCAAAGACTATTACTAAGGGACACCCTGGGGGGAAGATGAAAATTATTAGACATACATAGAATGCATATTACAATATACAAAAATGCATTCTTTTACTTTAACCATAGTTGTTTCTAGAGCACTACTGTTCAAGGGAACGTTTTTTTCTTTAAAAGGCTACGTTTTCTGTAGTTATATCTCTTCAAACTCTAACTTTGAAGACTGAATAATTAGTGTGGACGACACAGTAAGAACATTGCAATTATGGAATGTGCATTTTGGTACACTATTCTGTATCCATCGCTTAATTTAGACATCTTCAGTTTTTGAATATCCCCTCATAAGAAAGTATAGTTCAAGAGCTTTAAACATGCTTAGATTTAAGGTTTTCAGATAATAAGGGGAACAAATGAAAAGTTTCAGGGAGGACAGAAACAAAAAGACGTGATGGGGGGAAGAAAGGTTTGAGAGATAGGGGAACGTTCATTATAAGACCGTCATATAGTTTGTCATCTTGTATTTTGTTTCTAATTATTAGGAATGATTGAGGTCATACCAACTAAACACGGAAAAATTTCGTTAAGTTTTATTGGTTTTGAATTAGATACTGTATACACGAGTTGAAGACCGAATACATTTATGTATGAAAGTGGTTAATCTTTTAGAAAATCACCCATTCTCGTATTACTGGTTGTTCTTTTCTTGAGTTTGTATGTGAATTCACTATTGCAACAGCGCTTCCTACCGATTATCAACAGAAGTGCATGTGTATAGACTACTCATTGTTTAATATCAGAGGACAAAAAATTATCAACTTAATCGTGCTTAAGTTACCTTATTCTAATTTGCCCCTCGATTGTACACAAGTTTTTTCAGCGATTACTTTATGTTGTATTTTATTGTTATTATTTTATTGTGTTTGGGGATTGCCCCCCAGGGTGCATTGAAAACCTGTTCCTGTGGTTAAATAAACAATAAACAAAAAACAATAAAACAACGGTTTTGGCACCATGGGGGAAACAGTTTGTATTTTCGGTGTGTTTGCTGATCGCTTCCGATCTTCAGATGGACCTTGGCCAATATATCAAGAAATAATAAGTATGATTATATGGATCAGGATAAATGGAAGTATTGTACATGTATATAGCCTTATTTTAAGCTGTGTTAGTATGTTGTAATTGCCAATGTATTTATGTTTTGTAAATGTGTCATGTGTGTTTTGAGGGACCACAGGAAGAATAGCTACATTTGTTGTAAGCTAAATGTGGATCCCAATAAAGTCAAGTTAGTACGTCCTCCCCTTTATCTGCATTTTAGCCACGGCCCCCGGTACCCCTGCGCCCTCCTTACTCGACTCCGCATTGGGACCTGCAGCTTAAATCATAGTTTATATCAACGTAATTTAGTTCTTAGTTCTGCCTGTACCTGTGGGTCTAAATGTGAAGACATTGTACATTTCCTTTTGCACTGCCCTGTATACAACTTGCATAGAGTGACCCTTCTCAGCAACCTACAGAGCCTAGTAGGCTCTACTTTTGACTTGCGCAACTTGTCTGACCAAGCCAGTATTAATCTTTTACTGAGGGGTTCGCCCCTTTTACGTCTTGATGTTAACAAACAAATTCTGATTCTTACTCAAACCTTTATACTGAAAACCCAACGATTTACAGTTGCCGAATGATTTATATCGCCGTTAGTCTTGTATATACGAACGCTCATTTGTTGTTTCGTCATTGTCATACCTGTAATTTGTATTCTATGTCAGGGGTGTGATTAATATTAGCTTCGGCTATAGTTTCCACCTCTGTGTCTTGTACCATGTCTTGTACTTTGTTGTTTCAATAAAAAAATAAAGTCAAGTCAAGTAGAACGCCTAGGGTCTAAGCTCAAGCCATTACCATATCACCTACGTCAATCATGTAATGGAGGGGGTGGTATTACAAATACGTCTTTTGCTACAAAGCACGATAGAATTCTTTTCACTCTGATTCATCAAACAATGTGTGTACAAGACATAAAGAAAGACACCTATTCTTATTGACCCCCCATTATCCTTTTCTTTCAGGAAAGACTACACAAGTTACAACGATCCCTACAACAAAGCATCCTACGACGCAAGTTACAACGATCCCAACAACGAAAAACCCTACAACCCAATTTACCACGATTCCAACAACGCACAGCCCCACAACCCACTTCACCACGATGATCACAACGAAGAAGACAACAATACCAACAACGCATGACCCAACAACCCACTTCACCACGATGATCACAACAAAGAGACAACGATACCAACAACGACATAACCCCACAACCCAGTTCACCACAATGATCACAACGGTTGTACCAACAACGCAAGTAACCACAGAGAAGACAACAATGCCAACAACTCAGCCGACCACAGAGAAGACAACGCTACCAACAACTCAACAGACCACAGAGAAGACAACGATACCAACAACGCATGACCCTACAACCCACTTCACCACGGTTGTACCAACAACGCAGGTAACCACAGAGAAGACAACAATACCGACAACTCAGCCGACCACAGAGAAGACAACAACACCAACAACGCAGCAGACCACAGAGAAGACAACGATACCAACAACGCATGACCCTACAACCCACTTCACAACGGTTGTACCAACAACGCAGGTAACCACAGAGAAGACAACCATACCGACAACTCAACAGACAACGAGGAAGACAACAATACCAACAACACAGGAGACAACGGAGAAGACAACAATGCCAACAACTCAGCAGACCACGGAAATGACAACGGCACCAACAACACAGCAGACCACGGAAATGACAACGGCACCAACAACTCAGCAGACCACGGAAATGACAACGGCACCAACAACTCAGCAGACCACGGAAATGACAACGGCGCCAACAACTCAGCAGACCACGGAAAT